AGAAGCCCTTGGTGTCGTCAGTGGGGTCGGAGAGGACCCGGTTCATCTCCTCGCTGAAGTAGCCACGCTTGTAGGCAGCTTCGACGGGCAGGCGGTGGCTGTTGACGGGGTCGATGATGCCACCGGTGGCGATCTGGGCCTCGAGCAGGCGGATGCCGTGCTCCCTGACGATGAGCTCCTTCGTCATGGCCTGAAAGAGGGAGATCTTGTCGCCGGTGTAAGGATCCTTGTAGCCGGTTACCGCCCGTTCAGCAGACAGCATCTTATTGTGCAGTTCTGGCCCAATCACTCCCTCTCTCACCGCCTCATTCACCGAGAGCCTCGCGTTTCGCACAGGGTCGATTATGAAGCCAGAGGCAGCCTGCGCTTCCAGGAGGACCAGCGCGGTGCCGGGGCTGAGCAGCTTCTTCTTCATGGCTTCATAGATGCTCATCTTTTGGTTGGTGGGCTTGATTAACAAACCGGCGATGCTGCTCTTCCCGTGCAGGTACTTCTTGACATCTTCCCTCTGCGAGAGCTCGCCAACACTTACGACGCCCGTCGCCAACTTGTCTAAGCTCTCCTGGCTCAAAATGCCGGCATCGGCCAGCTTCTCTGCAGACACCTTCTGACGGATGCCGTCAAACGCGAACTCCGGTTCCCCATTCTGTGCTAAGCCGTCCACCGCGTCTCTGCCATTGGGCACAGCTTTGGTATCCGGCAGCCGCGTGGTTGTAACCGTGTCCTCCTGGGGCAGGTCATCTGTCTGGATCATGATCTCCCGCGTCTGGGCCAGGGCGGCCTTGTACTCTTCCTGCATCTGCTCGAGCCTCTCCCTGAGCTTCTTGTTCTCCTCTTCCAGGAGCTTCTCCTGCTGCACCCGCTGTCTCTCCAGCTGCTGCAGCTCCTCCTGTTTGTGCCGGACGTTTTCCTCTGCTTCCTTCTGATGCTTCTTGGCTTCGTCCAGCATGGCTTTCAACTGCTGCTTCTCCTGCTCCATCTCCTTCTGCTGGCGCTCCTGCTCTGCCTTCAGGTTCTGGGCTTTGTTCACCTCGTCTTTAAAGAGCTTCTCCAGCTTTGTTTTCTCCTCCTCGATGAATTTCTCCTTCTGCAGCAGGGCGTCCTTCTCCGACAGGAAGGTCTGCTGGAGGAGCTGCGTCTCCTGGCGGAGCTGCGCCTGCTGGGCCACCTGCATCTGGGGTGGGAAGAGAGGACAGGAGGGTCAGATGGCACCAGTTGCCCAGGAGGGCAGCACTGCCGGGGCAGCGGGGCCGGGGGCCGGGCAGCAGTGGTGGCACCGGGCAGGTAGGGGGGCAGGGTCCCCTCCCAACCTCTCGGCTGTGTCGGTTAAGAGCTACGGAAGCAGAGCCGGGGTTAGGGAGCCACAGCAAACAACACGTGGGCGGAACGAGGAGGGCAAGGACACGAGTTCTTCGGTGGGGGTCAGGGACTCTCTGCCCGGCACCGAGGCTGGGAGCTGGGGAGGGCTCTTGTCTACGGAGAGGAATAAGGCAGGATGCGCCATGGGGCCGAAAAGCTAGCATGGGCGGTGGGGACCACTCCTCC